CATGCCTATAGTCCCAGCTACTAAGGAGGCTAAGGTGGAATGATTGCTTGATTCTGGGAGCTTGAGGCTGCAGTGAGCCAAGATTGTGCCACTGCACTCCAGTCTAGGCAACAGAGTGAGACCTTGTCTTAAAAAAAAAATAAATAAATCCCAGAACACCAAATATTTAAAAAAAAAAAAAAAAAAGGGCCGGGCGCGGTGACTCAAGCCTGTAATCCCAGCGCTTTGGGAGGCCGAGGCGGGTGGATCACGAGGTCGAGAGAGCGAGACCATCCTGGTCAACATGGTGAAACCCCGTCTCTACTAAAAACACAAAAAAGTAGCTGGGCATGGTGGCACTTGCCTGCAATCCCAGCTACTCAGGAGGCTGAGGCAGGAGAATTGCTTGAACCCAGGAGGCGGAGGTTGCGGTGAGCCGAGATCGCGCCATTGCACTCCAGCCTGGGTAACAAGAGCGAAACTCCGTCTCAAAAAAAAAAAAAAAAAAAAAAAAAAAAGCCTAACTGAGTATGGTGTGTACCTGTAGTCCCAGCTATTCAGGAGGCTGAGGCAGAAGAATCACTTGAGGTCAGGGTTTTGATGCCAGCCTCAGCAGCATAGAGGCAGGAGAATCACTTGAGGCCGGGATTTTGATGCCAGCCTCAGCAGCATAGCCATACACTTTATTTTTTTTGCTATGGGGTTTTGACATGCTGCCCAGGCTGGTCTTGATCTTCTGGACTCAAGTGATCTGCCTACCTCGTACTCCCAAAATGTTGGGATTACAGGTGTGAGCCACTGTATCTGGCCAGCCCCTTATCTGAAAAAAAAAAAAAAAAGGAAAGAAAAGAAAGAAGATTCCATAGTTGTTTCAGCCATGGACTTTTAACTGGTAAGCTTCTCAATGATCAGAATGAGGTCTAGTTCTATGGTATTGTATTAGTTTGCTCGTGTTGCTGTTAACCAAACACCACACAAATTTTAACAAAAACTTAACATCTCACAGTGCTTGAGGCTAGAAATATGAATGAAATCAAGGTATTGGTAGAGTAAGTTCCTTCTGAGGGCTGTGAGGATAGTATCTATTTCTTTTTTTTTTTTGAGACAGAGTGTCGCTCTTGTTACCCAGGCTGGAGTGCAATGGCACGATCTCGGCTCACCGCAACCTCCGCCTCCTGGGTTCAAGCAATTCTCCTGCCTCAGCCTCCTGAGTAGCTGGGACTACAGGCACGCGCCACCGTGCCCAGCTAATTTTTCGTATTTTTAGTAGAGACGGGGTTTCACCACGTTGACCAGGATGGTCTCGATCTCTCGACCTCGTGATCCACCCGCCTTGGCCTCTCAAAGAGCTGGGATTACAGGCTTGAGCCACCGCGCCCGGCCGGTGATAGGATCTATTTCATGCCTTTCTCATTAGCCTGTAGATGGCCATCTTCATGTTCACATGACAATTATCTCTGTATGTGTCTGTCCCCAAATTTTCCCTTTTTCTAAGAACACAGGTCAAATTGAATTGGAGACCACCCTTATCACTTTATATTAACATTATTATCCCTGTAAAGGCCCTATCTATAAATAAGCTCACATTCTGAGGTACTCTGGGTTAGGGCTTCATCACACAATTCAACTCATTACAGGTGTGTAAGATAAACAAGTTGGGCTGGGTGTGGTGGCTCATGCCTGTAATCCCAGCACTTTGGGAGGCTGAGACAGGTGGATCACCTGAGGCCAGGAGTAGAGACCAGCCTGGCCAACATGGTGAAACCCCGTCTTTACTAAAAATACAAAAATTAGCTGGGCATGGTGGCAGGTACCTACAGTCCCAGCTACTCCAGAGACTGAGGCAGGAGAATCACTTGAACCCAGGAGGCAGTGGTTATAGTGAGTCAAGATGGTGCCATTGCACTGCAGCCTGGATGACAGTGAGAGTGTCTCAAAAAAAAAAAAAAAAAAAAAAAAGGTAAACAAGTTACTACTGTAAAGTCTAATAAATCTCTTCACAATAAGAATCACTAGAGTGGAAATCATATGCATATAATTTACTTATGAAATTTGAGTTATCGGCTGGGTGCGGTGGCTCAAGCCTGTAATCCCAGCACTTTGGGAGGCCGAGGCAGGTGGATCACGAGGTCAAGAGATCGAGACCATCCTGGTCAACATGGTGAAACCCCGTCTCTACTAAAAATACAAAAAATTAGCTGGGCATGGTGGCACATGCCTGTAATCCCAGCTACGCAGGAGGCTGAGGCAGGAGAATTGCCTGAACCCAGGAGGCGGAGGTTGCGGTGAGCCGAGATTGCGCCATTGCACTCCAGCCTGGGTAACAAGAGCGAAACTCTGTCTCAAAAAAAAAAAAAAAAAAAAGAAATTTGAGTTATCTGGCCAGGTGCAGTGGCTCATGCCTGTGATCCCAGCCCTTTGGGATGCCAAGGCGGGCGGATCACCTGAGGTCAGGAGTTCAACACCTGCTAGTGCAGAGAAGGCGCGTGCACACACACACACACACACACACACACACACACACAAAAAGGAGTCCAAGACCAGCCTGACCAACATGATGAAACCCCACCTTTACTAAAAATACAAAAATTTTAGCCGGGCATGGTGGTACATGCCTGTAATCCCACTACACTGTAGCCTGGGCAACAGAGCAAGACTCTACCTCAAATGAATGAATGAACGAATGAATGAATGAACAAAATCGTTTTTTAAAAAAGAAATTTGAGTTATCTAATATTTGAATGTTATGTAAAAAAAACACATTACAGGCCGGGCACGGTGGTTCATGCCTATAATCCCAGCACTTTGGGAGGCTGAGGTGGGCGGATCACCTGAGGTCGGGAGTTCAAGACCAGTCTGACCAACATGGAGAAACCCTATCTACTAAAAATACAAAATTAGCTGGGCATGGTGGCACATGCCTGTAATGCCAGCTACACAGGAGGCTTAGGCAGAATTGCTTGAACCCAGGAGGCAGAGGTTGCAGTGAGCTGAGATGGCACCACTGAACTCCAGCCTGGAAAACTAGAGTGAAACTCCATCTCAAAAAAAATTCCAGATCTATATTCTGTACACTATTTTAAATGTTTTTCCTTTCTGGTGAGACTAGAAATTTCAGAAAACAGGCCAGGCGCGGTGGATCAAGCCTGTAATCCCAGCACTTTGGGAGGCCGAGGCGGGTGGATCACGAGGTCAAGAGATCGAGACCATCCTGGTCAACATGGTGAAACCCCGTCTCTACTAAAAATACAAAAAATTAGCTGGGCATGGTGGCGCGTGCCTGTAATCCCAGCTACTCAGGAGGCTGAGGCAGGAGAATTGCCTGAACCCAGGAGGTGGAGGTTGCCGTGAGCTGAGATCGCGCCATTGCACTCCAGCCTGGGTAACGAGAGCGAAACTCCGTCTCAAAAAAAAAAAAAAAAAAATACAAAAAACATTAGCTGGGCATGGTGGTGCATGCCTGTAATCCCAGCTACTCAGGAGGCTGAGGCAGGAGAACTGCCTGAACCCAGAAGGCAGAGGTTGCGGTGAGCCAAGATCAGGCCATTGCACTCCAGCCTGGGTAACAAGGGTGAAACTCCGTCTCAAAAAAAAAAAAAAAAATTTCAGAAAACTAGGTTTTCTTTTTTCTTAATTTTTTCTCCACCTTAAGTAGGGTGATTAGAGACTAGGTTTTCAAGTGAAAATCTAAGGTGTTGCTTTTAAGAAAGCTTCTCCACTGGGTGCAGTGGCTCACACCTGTAATCCCAACACTTTGGGAGCCTAGGCGGGAGGATCGCTTGAGCTCAGGAGTTCGAGACCAGCCTGGGCAACATAGGGATACCCTGTCTCTATAAAAAATTTAAAAATTAGCCGGACGCGGTGGCTCGAGCCTGTAATCCCAGCACTTTGGGAGGCCGAGGCGGGTGGATCACAAGGTCAAGAGATCGAGACCATCCTGGTCAACATGGTGAAACCCCGTCTCTACTAAAAATACAAAAAATTAGCTGGGCATGGTGGCACGTGCCTGTAATCCCAGCTACTCAGGAGGCTGAGGCAGGAGAATTGCCTGAACCCAGGAGGCGGAGGTTGCGGTGAGCCGAGATCGTGCCATTGCACTCCAGCCTGGGTAACAAGAGCGAAACTCCGTCTCAAAAAAAAAAAAAAAATTTAAAAATTAGTCAGGAGGCTGATGTGGGAGAATTGCTTGAGCCCAGGAGGTTGAAGCTGCAGTGAGTGAGTCATTATCACACCACTACATTGAAGCCTGGGTGACAGAGTGAGACTCTGTCTTTAAAACAAAACAAAAAACAAGAAAACAAAAAGACATGAAAGCTAAAAGCATCTCTGTGATTTAAAAGCTGTAGATCTAGACCAGCCTGTCCAACACAGTGAAATGCTGCCTCTACTGAACATACACATGAAAAAATTAGCCAGACATGATAGCACGTACCTGTAATCCCAGCTACTCTAGAGAGGCTGAGGCAGGAGAATCACTTGAACCTGGGAGGCAGAGGTTACAATGAGCCGAGATTGTGCCACTGCACTCCAGCCTGGGCAACAGAATGAAACTCCATCTCAAAAAATGATGTAGAACTAGATAGGCCTGCTCATTAGAATATCAAGATGGCTCCAGCTTGCCTTTTCTTTTTTAATTTATATATACTAGGACTTTTTAGATAGTTTCTGTTGAAAATAATCATTTTGACCAGCTATGTGTTTGGTGGTAAGGGATAAATTATATCTATACCATGCCAAATATCCTAATAAAAACTGGAAAACATGTTCAGCTTACCTTTGAACGTGGCTTTCCCTCATGATACTGCTCCCTATTGACTCTAGAGTTACAGATCCTTTTAGCGCATATAATTTGGTTATACCATGTGAAATAAGTTTGGACATGGATTTCCCAGGGATAACTCCTGTGAAAACTAGGAGTTTTCAATGGAACTACCTTTTATTTCCAGACACTCAGATATGAGGTTTTCTACTTGAAGTGGGAGAATATGTGCATTCTTCTCAATGATCACAAGACTCTAACAAAGGGGATTTTTAATCTTTTAATTTTCAGGAGAGCTAAAACATTCAAATGTTTAACTATGATAACTATATTATTCATAAAATGACCGAAAACTAGTTTACTATGAAATGAAAGCATTTGACAGGGATTTTCAAGCTCTTGCTCAAGTAATTACTATGAAATAACAACTTCTAGAAATGAAGAACAATCTGTGAAGAGTAAATTACCATTGGTGTGGGAAAAAAGAGCCAAACAGAAGCAGAAAAAGGTGTAACCAGCATACTAATGTTATCTACAGTGTATTTTTATATTTGACCAGGTTTCTTATGTTCTTTTTCGGAAAAAGCATCTTTAACTATTAAAGTGATTATCAGTGAAAAAGTGGCCACTAAAGTGACTACTAACCTCAGGGCTTTGAACCAGTTGGGATAATGTGGTAAGAGAAAAACTTCAAGGTGTAATGCTATCCCCAGACCCATTATTATTGTGACTATGGCTTCTGCTTCACTGAGTTTTTCAAAAAAAATGAAGGCAAACCATGAAAACCAAAGAGGAGTTGTACTGTTAGCCAAATTAAGGACATTTGGTTTGGCTGGACTACCTTCTGGTAGAGCAAAACCCCATCTGATCCCACCCAAGAAAGATAGGAAAGTGACTCCATAAGCGATCTGAGTAAAAGCTAATATGGGAATATAAGTTTTTGTCATCAGCATGACCAGTGGTGGAGCAACGAAGGGGATTAGTCCTGCCACAGTTATATATAATGCTGGCTTTGGGCTCTCAGGCAGATAAGAGATGGTGCTTGGTGGCCTGGATGGAAGTGTTGCTTTCTGCTTCTTTTTAAAGCTGCAGGGGGATGTATGATAGCACTGTGTCTTGCTCATATACACTGGAAATGAAGAAGAAAGCCAAGGCCTTGGAAACAGGGAAAAGTTCTGCTGGAGAGACATCTTGAGAGAAAGTGTATCTGTTCTGCTGGCTCTTAGTCCCACTGGGAAAGAGTACTTCAGCATCTGCAAAGAAAATAGAGCCAGAAGACAAAATTTAAAAAATATATATTCTGTTTTCACAATACTAAGACATACCTGAAAAAAAGAAACATATATATATATATATATATATATATATATATATATATATATATATATCAGATTTTAGTCAATCCCAATATGAAAGATCATTTGGAAGGAGCAAACAAAAAAGATCTGCTTTCCATTAGCACATCAAACTGCAGAGAAAGGATGAACTGACTCTAAAGTGATGTTATTGCTTGTAAGAGTATTAAATGGCTATACAATGTATAAAAAGAAATCACTGAACACAAACCATGATATATTTAAACTTACCACTTAATTTTATTCTATGAGAGAAATACCTAAAAGAGGAGCCAGCAAACATTAGATCTTCAGAATCTGGCCGTCTGTCCTTTTGTTTTTCTTTTCTTTTGTGGAGAATGGGGTCTTGCTATATCGCCCAGGCAGATCTTGAACTCCTGGGCTCAAGTTATCTTCCTGCCCCTGCCTCCCTAAGAGCTGGGATTACAGGTGTGAGCCACAGCGCCTGGGGCAGAATCTGGCTTTCTAAACTGCCTCTTCTATTTATTACTAGCAAAAGAAGCAGCACTAATTACTGTGGGAATAGTGTTTTTATATGGAGAAAATAAATCTGCCTTCCAACTTAGCTTTATAAACACCATATACTTTTTATAGTTCCACACCTTTGTATATGCTCTGCCTAGAATTCTAGCTCTTACTCCTTTTCTATCTAGGAAACTTACCTCAACAATCAACATTCAACTTAAAGCTTTCCTTAACCCTTCTACAGTTTGATTTAATGCTCCTATAGTAAGTACCCTATGCACACTTCTATCATAATTATTCTCACAGTAAATTAAAATTATGTGTTTACTTGTTTCTGTCTCAGTAGACTTGAGAGCCAGGACCATATTTTTTTCCATGCTTTAAAATCCCCAGTGCCTTTCATTGTACATGGGCAAAGTAATAACCTTTTCTGCTGATTCTGTGCTTTAGTGAGCAGATGCCAGACTTCAACTAAAAAGTGTTGGATTAAAGAAAAAATTGAAGTTATTTAAGATTCTTGGTGATTACTCAAACATACTAGGAATGGTTCCATCTTGAAACCATTTCACATTTCCATATTTACTGCTTTTTCTTCAGTTACCTGTATGGCTCATTCCCCTATTTCTGATCCCCTGCCATTTATAAGTGCAATCCTACATCCTGACACTCCCTATGCCCCTTCCCTGCTTTAAAGTTCTCCACAGCAGGTAAGTGATATGCTATTATTATTATTTTGTTTTTTTTGAGACTGAGTCTCACTCTATCACCCAGCCTGGAGTGCAGTGGCATGATCTCTGCTCACTGTAACCTCTGCCTCCCAGGTTCAAGTGATTCTTGTGCCTCAGCCTCCTGAGTCGCTGGGATTACAGGCATCTGCCACCATGCCCAGCTAATTTTTGTATTTTTCAGTAGAGATAGGGTTTCACCATGTTGGCCAGGCAGGTATTGAACTCCTGACCTCAAGTGATCTGCCTGCCTCAACCTCCCAAAGTGCTGGGATTTGGGATTAGAGCTTTAAGTCACAGCACCTGACAAATTTTTTTTTTTTTTGAAACAGGGTTTTGCTGTGTTGCCCAGGCTGGAGTGGCATGATCTCAGCTGACTGCAGCCTCAACCTCCTGGGCTCAAGTGATCCTCCTACCTCAGCCTCCAGGGTAGCTGGGACTATAGGCATGTGACTCCATGCCCAGCTAATTTTTTGTATAGCTGGGGTTTTTCCATGTGCCCAGGCTGGACTTGAACTCCTTGGGCTCAAGTGATCCACCCACCTTGGCTTGCCAAAGTGCTGGGACTACAGGAGTGAGCCACTGCACCTAGCCTGATATATTAAATATTTTACTTACTTGTATTTTACCTAACTCTTCCCTCCATCACCTAAATAAACAATGATATTTTACTGCAATTGCCCTAGCCCAAGCAATATTTGGTAAATAGTGCTCAAATATTTGCTGAATAAACCAACCTTTGAAGATGTTTGAGAAAACCGGATGAAGCGAAGCATACTAGCCCCTATTGAAAGTCTTGTTCAGGAAGATGCCGGGCAGTTCTGGTTAACGTGTTGTTACAGCTCAGTGGAGGCTCTGACTCAGAGGCATTTTTCTGTGTATGAAACAAGACATCACTTAATTTTCCTCATTTTATACATTAATTTTTAAACAGTAGTAATTCATAAATATAACAATTTCCTTTGAAAAGAATCATTAATGTTTTCAAACTATCAGTAACACAGTATGGAAATAGATTCTTTTAATACCTGAACTGTTCTTTTGGCTTTGGCTGTCTGACGTAACAGAAAGAGTAATGCATACAGGGATTTTACAGATACCTCCACCACTTCCTAGCTGTGTGACACTGGGTAAATTGCCTGAGTACCAGTTTTCTCATCTTTAAAATGAAAGGTCTTCTAAATGGCATTTTTGTGAGATTTAAAAAAACAACTGGAAGGTCATAGCTTCTGTTTCCTTTTTTCCTCCTTAGTTATTTACTTTGGTGCTTAAGAGTTCACAATTCAAAATAATGATAGTACCAACCAATATAACTTAGTTTTTTGAGTTTTTTTTTTTTTTTTTTTTTTTTTTTTAAGACAGACTTGCTCTGTCACCCAGGCTGGAGTGCAATGGCACAATCTTGGCTCACTGCATCCTCTGCCTCCTACGTTCAAGTGATTCCCATACTTTAGCCTCCCAAGCTGATTTTTGTATTTTTAGTAGAGATGGGGTTTCACTATGTTGGCCAGGCTGGTCTTGAACTCCTGACCTCAGGTGATCCACCTGCCTTGGCTTCCCAAAGTGTTGGGATTACAGGCATGAGCCACCATGCCCCGCAAGCATTTTATTAACTTGGTACGGAGAAAGAGAATAGCCTGTTGGAATACAGACTCTGGAATCAAACTTGGTTGGAATTCTGGCTCCACTACTTATTAGCTGTGTGTCTTTGAACAAATTATTTAATCTTGTTATGGTGCAGTTCATTCACCTTTGAAATAAAGGTACTAACTACTTCATAGGGTTGATGTAAATTTTTTTTTTTTTTTTTTTTTTTTTTGGAGACAGCGTGTTGCTCTGTTGCCCAGTATGGAGTGCAGTGGCATGATCTCTGCTCTCTGCAGCCCCAACCTCCTGGGCTGGAGGGATCTTACCACCTCAGCTCCCTAAGTAGCTGGGACTATAGGCCATGCCACCATGCCCAGCTAACTTTTGTATTTTTTGTATGGAAGGGGTTTTGCCATATTGCCCAGGCTGGTCTCAAACTCCGGAGCTCAAGCGATCTGCCTGTCTGACCTCCTAAAGTGCTGGGATTACAGGTGTGTGCCACCACACTTAGTCTGATGTAACATTTAATAAGTTAATTCATGTAAATAGCTGAGAACTGCCCCTGGCACAAAATAAGCACCTTACAGAGGAGACACTGATTAGTAAGTAACCAGTAAAAACAGTTGAATGAGAATATGAATCTAGATCTGACAATTCCATTTTTTTTTTTTTTAAAAGACAGCCTTGCTCTGTCACCCAGGCTAGAGTGCAGTGGCCCCATCTTGGATCACTGCAACCTCTGCCTCCCAGATTCAAGCAATTCTCCTGCCTCAGCCTCCCAAATAGCTGAGATTATAGGCACTCGCCACCGTGTCTGGCTAATTTTTGTATTTTTAGTAGAGATGTGGTTTCACCATCTCGGCCAGGCTGGTCTCTAACTCCTGACCTAGTGATCCACCCTCCTCGGCCTCCCAAAGTGCTGGGATTAAAGGCATGAGCCACCATACCCGGCCGACAATTCCATTCTTAGCCAGGAGAATGAGATGTCTGAAAAATCTATAGTTGCTGTTTAATTTTAAAAAATAGATTGGGGCGGCGCAGTGGCTCACTCCTGTAATCCCAAGACTTTGGGAGGCTGAGGCAGGCCTAGGAGGTCTAGGAGTTCAAGACCAGCTGGCCAACATAGTGAAACCCCATCTCTACTAAAGATACAAAAAATTTGTTTCCTATGATCCATGTTAGAGGAAGTAAAAAACAAAAAAAAGATACAGAATATTAGCAGGGCATGGTGGCGGGTGCCTGTAATCGCAGCTACTTGGGAGGCTGACAAAGGAGAATCACTTGAACCTGAGAGCAGCGGTTGCAATGAGCCAAGATCGAGCCACTGCACTCCAGCCCAGGCGACAGTGCGAGACTCCGTCTAAAAAAAAAAAAAAGAAAAGAAAAAAAAATTGAACTAATTTATTGATCGCAGATCCACATATCTTAGGGTTGGGTCAAGAAACCCTGTATACCAGTGAATGTCTTCATTCTAAAGGAACAGGTAAGTTAGATCACACCCACACCCACGCACCTAAGCCCCAGACCAAAATGCCCGCAGAGTGTACCCATCACTTTTGTCAAAATCACTTTCTTCGTAAGACTTTCCAGACCACTCCATTTAAAATCTCAACCATCCCCCACCTTTGGAAACTTCCTATCGTCTGTGGCACAAGCTTTCCAACTAATGGGTATTAAAAAGTGATAACCTAAAGTCCAGCGACAGCAGGTGATGCGGGGATTAAGTACTGAGACTCAAAGGTTAATCCTCCTAATTTGGATGAAAAAGCTCAATATTCCCATTGCCCTAATAGGAAGACTGCAACTGCCAACTTCAAAAAGACCTCTGAGAAAGGGGGGAGGAGTTTAGACGCCAGTGTCTTCGGGAAACCTTGCCCTACAGTGCCTGCGTCTACAATTTACTACCAACCCTTGGTGCCTCCCATCCCACCCTGTATCTGTGGCGGCTTTGAGACTTACCAGCGTTGCACAGAGAGATGGAAAACAGCCGCAAGAAAACAGCCCGCCTCTCCCTGGAAACACACTTCCGGCAAGTGGAATCAGAGAAAGCCCCCTACTTCCTGAGGACTCAAAAGAAAATAAGTCCGGGTAGGGCCTTGACCTATGCTAACTGGTTCCTACGCCCGGCTTTCTGTTTGGGGACCATTCTTAATTTCTAGTTGAAGCCAGATGTTGAACAAGGTACCTGAACCGTTCTTGACTTTCTGTTTCATGGCTCCCAGGCAGCAGAATCTGCCCACAGAGTTCGAGAAGGTAGAGTGCAAGTACTGAAACAATCTCAGAATGATGGTGGTGAAGGAAGGTAAGAGACGGGATTTTAGGCCCAGAGTGACCTGGCCAAATTGCTTGTTATCTGTGGAATTTATTTTTTACTTTGCAATACAGGGTTTTAAGACCTATGGGGCCCATGTCACTCCGCATTACGGACCTTTACTATTAGTTAGAGGGAGAAAAAGCCCAATTATTACATTTATTTTCTTTGCTAGGAGCTAGAAACTTCGTTAAGGATTAAATAGCACAAGAGCAGGATTTCTACTTTCATGAAAGGTGTGGTGATAAGAGCCCTGGGCTTGCGGGTGGTGCGGAAAGTCACATCATTTCTCCTGCCGCCCTCGGCTTTATTTCTCCGCTATGTGACCTTGGGTAAGTCCCTTCTCTTATCTGGACTTGTTTCACAGGAAATGGCACTAGGCAATCTGAGTGTCCTTCCGTGTGTATGGATAAAGCTGAAGACATGTAATAGGAGATCTCAGGGGCCCACGCCGGCCAGCCCCTCCATTCCTCCGGATTCTAGGTAGTGTAGCTTCCTGGTTGCCACCCATCACATGGTTTAGCGTTCCGTGCCGGATGGAGCCACAGCAGTCTTCGTTAATAGCGCTTTTAGTAAAGCTAGGCCTTCAGTTTTAGTGCCTTCTCTGTCATGGCAGCGCCGCCCCTTCCAGTAGTGCGATACCCAATGACATTTAAGGTAGAAGAAACGGCACTGTCACTGGCGCAGACTCTAGCCAAAAGCCCGCCCTCCGCTGGGGCGGGGCATGACGCTTGCGCTCCCAAGGAACTACTACTCCCAGTGGGTAGCGCGGCTGACCCAGTCGCGCAGCCTCCGGAGCCAGGCCGTGTGGGCTGCTGGGGGCTGGAGTCTCAACGACATGCACACGTGAAGGAAGGAGCGGAAGGTGGGAAAGGGCTGAAAAACACACGTTCCTCCGAAACCGGTTTGCAAGTCCTTGTAGAGGTAGTTTCGGGATGCGTACCGGCCCACGGGAGGGCTGTGGGAAGGTGAAGAAAGAAGGGATACACATATACATACCCACCCACGCATTCATACGCGCTCAGGCCCTGAAAGTGGGCAGGGGGGTAAGAAGGGGCGTACTAAACTAGGCTTGTCCTTGCTTCAGGCGGCACGAGGAAAGGCAGAGGATTCAATTCTGTAGGGGGCGGAGGCGACCACGCGCCGCCTCGAGCGGCGAGGAAGGGAGCCAGGGGCAGGGCAGGGCATAACCGCCGTTCTGGAGGCCGAACGTTGGCAGCTTGGGGTGCGAGCGTCCGTCAGGCACTGTCGCCGGGCAGGTCCCGTGCGCATGCGCTCCTTCAGGTGGGCGTGTGAAGGCGGGGTCGGACGGGGGAGGGGAGGGCCGTGCTGCTCGTCGCTCCTCCTCCTCCACCCGCTCTGCCCCTCCTGGGCCTTGTGGGCCGGGCAGCCATTTTGGGAAGAGCTTTGTTATGGTTGCGGGCTAGCCGCCTCTGCCGGGTCGAGAAGCTGCGGACGCGTCCTTAGACGCCGCGTCTCGTCCCTGGCCGTAGCGCCAGCGCTGCCCGGTGAGTGGGAGTTGGGGACAACAGGGCAGTAGGAGATCTTGGAGTTGTTCCGGCGCGGGGCTCCGCCCGGTGCCTAACCAACCGGCTGTTAAAACTAGGTGAAAGAAGCTCTCACACAGGTGGTTGGTTTTAGGTCCTACCCGAGAGGGGCGAGCGGAGCCCACGGGTCAAGTGGTTCGAACGGGACACTCCCTCCACCGCAGTGCTTGGAGCTTTGCACGCGAGCGTTGCCGGGGCTCCGCGTAAGCGCTGCTACTTTAACTTTGGTCGTCGGGTCAGAACGCTCACCTGCGGCTTTTTGGCTCCTCTCCAGGCGATCCGGCTTGGTGCTGGTTGAGGGACTTGGTTTACGGGTTTTTTTCTTTCCCTCTTGAAATGAGAGCTAAGAGCTTTTGTTTGCCTTCATAGAAAAACCTAAGGAGGAAAAAGTTTAAGTCAAATGTGGGATATTTGAGGGGAAAAAAGTTTTAACCCCCAGCGTTCCGGTTCTCCGTGGTAGCGAGGTGTTTTCGTTTAGATTGAGTCTATCCAATATCTGCCAACCCCCTTCCCTTGCGGAGGTTGCGGGGGAACCTGGTCGATCCTGAAATGTTTCAAGAGTGTTATTTTTTTCTCGTCTTAAATCTGCTTCTCCTCAACCCGAGAAATTCAAAAGAAAGTCTGAATCTAAAATGGCTGTAGCTTGGGGAAGTGCCCTGCCCTTTGATTACTTAAATACAGTAACGTTTTAAAATTTTAGTCGTTTCCCCTATGGGGACATTAATTGAATCTTTTGATCTTTTGGCTTTTTACAATTGGTGTCTCATCTTTAACTCTCTTGCTAGGTGAAAACAAAGGTGAGACTCACAAAGTTGACTTACTCCAAAAGTTTACATAAGAATGGGTGCGGTGCAGTGCTGTGTGTGTGTAATAGTTGCTTATAGTTTTCAGATTGTGCTGTGGTGTCAATTGTATCTGCCAACTTTGTGCTCTGAGGGTGGCTTGTCATATTTGTTGAAATACTTTTAACGTTGATACTCATTGCTTACCAGGAAAATACAGAGTTAATAATAGTGGTTCGTGTTTTAGTTTAGTAACAAGTCATGTTCCTGTGTAAACCCTATCCCAAAGTAAAGTGATTGGTAGTCACTCCTCAGTAGACTTGTATTTGTAATTTGGTAGACTGCTGATCTTTTCTAAGGTCTTTTATATCCAATATTTGAAAGGAAATTAGGGTGTTATTTAGTTTGAGATATTTACTAGAATAGTGTTAAGACGAAGTGAAACATACTTTAGGTGTGGAGAGCCTGATTGTTGTGCCCTTTTAAACAAAAGGCTGTCTTTTGTTTGTTTGTTTTTTTAACAGTAGATCCAGAAGTTTAAACCAAAAGTCATATATTAGAAACCAAAACCAGTAAATTTCAGTATTTGGAAAGGTGTTGGAGTTTCAGCCTGTAGTCTATTTTTAAGAGATAAAAGAGTGAAATGTTAATTATGAATGAGAACTTTGAAATTAATGGTCAAATAAACTGTCATCTTTCCTAGGGAGTCCATTTTCAATGTGCCTTTTGACGTTTTTTCAAATACAAAAGTTTGTTTTTGTTAATTCCCCTATAATTTTTTTTGTTAAATTATTTCGGTGGTTTTACAGGAAAAACATTTAAAGTTTTTAATAGAAATTACAAGTTAATTGCTTCGTGTTTTGTCACTGTTAACTATTAAATTGAAGTGAGAGGTGTTTTTTTTTGGGTACTCAACGGTTTGTACATTTGTTAAATGTAAACATTCTTTCAATTGATTTTGGAAGGTGTGTGTTTTCAGAACTCTTAATTTGTGGTGTGGGGGGAACTCTTGAGAGGCCTCCTTATTTTGAGCAAATTCAATTTACTAGATGGCTCATCAGTGGCTGTTTAAAAGCTTAACTGAGGAGGATGCAATCAATCATTTATTTATGTTTAGAATGATAAGAAATCTGGTTCACAGTTCTGCTTATAATTCATTTTTAATGCTGAGTTAAAGGTAAAACACAATCATACTTAAGAAAATTGCATATCTCTATTTTATAACTGATGTGCCAAGGACTGACTGTTGTTTAAGGTACTTTATATTTGTCATTTAACTTTTTTTGGAGGAGGTTATGGAGGGTACAGAGTTTCTCTCGTTTCCCAGGCTGGAGTGCAGTGGCGCGATCTTGGCTCACTGCAACCTCCACCTCCTGGGTTCAAGTGATTGTCCTGTTTCAGCCTCCCCAGTAGCTGGGATTACAGGAGCGTGCCATCATGCCCTCCTAATTTTTGTGTTTTTAATAGAGACGGGTTTTCACTACATTGTCCAGGCCGGTCTCTAACTCCTGACTTTAGGTGATCCGCCTGCCTCAGTCTCCCAAAGTACTGGGATTGCAGGCATGAGCCACCAGCCTGTGGTTTACTTTTCTAAGTATACTTGTTGGTTTGTTTTGTTTTGTTTTGATATGGTGTCTCTCTCTGTCACTCAGATTGGAGTGCAGTGGCAAGATCTTGGCTCACTGCAGCCTGAACTTCTCAGGCTCAAACTATCAAGGTTTTGGTCACCTCAGCCTCCCTAGTAGCTGGGACCACAGATGCATGCAACTGCACTGGGCTGATTTTTTTTTTATTTGTATTTTGTTAGAGAGGAGGTTTCGCCATATTGCCTAAGCTGGTCTCGAACTCGGGTGCTCAAGTGATCTGCTGGCTTTGACCTCCCAAAGTGTTGGGATTAACAGGCCTGAGCCACGGCACCAGGCTTAAGTAGATACTGTTTTGTAGCCCATTTTATAGTTGAAGAAAAGTAGTCCAGAGATTCATTCAGCTAGTAGGTAAACAGCCTGTATTTAAATTTAGGCAATCTTAAGTCCTTGTGTTTAACTGTACGGTCACTGCCTTTAAACATGAAAGTAAGACTGTTGGTCTAAAAGATGAGAGGCACACAAAATTTTAAAGGATTACAACCAAAAAAAGTATTTAATGGGAAAGACAAATTTTGGTGTATTTATGATTTTTCAGATAGATGAGGGGAAAAATCTAGGTGGAAGAGAAATGACATACTACCTCATAAGTGGCTGTAGTTGTTGTTGTCTGGAATTAAATATGTGATTCTGCTGTAGAGACCTAGTTAATTGCCCAAATTACTTTTTTTTTTTTTGGTGACAGAGTCTTGCTCTGTCACCAGGTGCCAGGCTGGAGTGCAGTGGTGGGATCTCACTGCAACCTCTGCCTCCTGGGTTCAAGCAGTTCTCCTGCCTCAGCCTCCCAAGTAGCTGGGACTACAGGCATGTGCTGCCACACCCAGCTAATTTTTTCTTTTTATTCTTTTTGTTTGTTTGTTTGTTTGTTTTGAGACGGAGTTTCGCTCCTGTTACCCAGGCTGGAGTGCAATGGTGCGATCTTGGCTCACCGCAACCTCCACCTCCTGGGTT